TCATTTAACACTAACAGGTCCCAGGTTGATGTTGATGCTTTATTGTTGTTGTTGTTGTCGTTGTTATTGTTATAGAGGTAACATTGATTTACAAGTATCTATGTGATTCAAAAACATAGGATCACACCTCCTCAGATGCATGTCACCTCACTAAATCCACCTATGCTAATGCTTTTTGGGGAACACTCTTTAAGAACAAGTGCCCCAGACCAGTGCCCCTCTAGAAATGTCACCAATATTACAAGTCCCAGAATTTTTGCTGGATTTTCTCTCTATCCCGTAGTACAATATACCTTAGAAAGGCCTGTAGATAACACATTAAAAAAAAAAAAAAAAAACTTTAGACTTGCTATTCCGGGTATTATTTTCATTGGTATGTGGTAGAACCCTGCAATATTATGATAAGCAGAATCCGGAAATTATAAACAGTTAAAATGTGACATTGCATTTACACTGGGCAGCTGACTTCATAGGAACTCCTGAGTCTGGCAGGGCTTGCAAAAACAATCTGGGTAATGCTAGCTACTATTTGAGCCCAGCGCCACCTGGTGATATTATAGTTATTTGCTTTTTCATTATATTCGCTAATAATTTTGTTCTATGGGCGCTGGAAAATGCAGTGGAGCTGTGACAAGGGAGAAACAAGATGCACTTGGTAAAGAAGACTCTATCTCATGTATGTTGATAATGTGCAAATAATCAGCCTTTATTCTTCACTGTATAAAGATTTAAGAGGCATTCTCATAGGCTGTATTTTTTGAATTTCCATGTTAGGTCAGAATACAAATAAAGTAATTTGAATTAGAAAACCTGCACAGTTTGATTTAGCTAGAGCAAATAGGAAATTTTACAGACACAGTTTGCATCAATTTATGTTCCAATTTGAAAGTGTTCACAAAAACCTAGCAGTCTATTTCTAAGTGAGTTAACAGAGTTCTTGTTCAATTCTTTCTACTGTTGAGCGGTTGCTCAAGGGTCCAGAGGCCAAGAAGAATAAAACAGGCACCAAAGACCCAGCGAAGTCTAACAAAATCCAGGACCACCTACTTAGGAGGTGCTAAGGTTTTGTGAAACAGGTTTTGTCAATGTGAGCTTATCCTGAATTTTGCAGGTGTGAACAAGAATGTGAACTGCTCAGGGGCAGTTGGGAGGAGTTAGCAGGGTCGGGGCTGAACCAAGTGTGTTGGTTTGTTGTGGTGTCTCTCTTGCCCCTGCCCCTTGGAGAAGGGAATGGGAGCCGCCATCTTATTTCCATCAGCTGCATGGAGACCACTTAGAGAAAAATGTGTGGGCTTATTGCTGAGCACTGACACATGACTCAGGCCTGAGTAATCTAAACAGGAAAGGCGATGGCCTTGCAAAAGTGTCCGGGTGATACTGACAAGGCTGCTGTTGAGCCAGGACCACCCTGAGTCACCCATCAGGCTCCCCTGTGTGAAACCCCCCATCTAGAGGCATCACAGTGGTAGACATATTAGGTTGTGTGGGCACAGCCACATGCTATTTATAAAACTACTCTTTATCAAAATGCTTTGCATTTGTGCAGATTATCATTTTCCTATCACAAAATCTCTTGTGAACTGGCATTGCATTTCAGCATCACAAATTTTGAATTAAGACCCTTTATGAAGGGTCTTACAAAAACATTAATTCAAAAGGAAACCTGCACTCCTATGTTCATTGCAGCACTATTTACAGTAGCTAAAAGATGTAAAAAAAAACCTAAATGCCCAAAAACCGATGACTGGATCAAGAAGATGTGGTATATGTACAGAATGGAATACTACTCGGCAATCAAAAAAGATAACCTTATGTCATTCGCAGCAACATGGATGGAGCTAGAAGGGATTATGTTCAATGAAATAAGCCAGAAGGAAAAAGAAAAAAATATCAGATGGTTTCACCTATAGGAGGAACATAGGGAAAACATACAAGGGATAGGAAAAAAAAGACAAAACTGGCTGTCAAACTGTAAATTGGAGACATTCAGCAGGGGATGGTGAGAGAGAGGGATTAAAAAGGGAGGGAAGAGCACAGGAGTCTATGGTGACAGTCAGAGATGTCTTGGTGGTGGCAACTATACAGGCACAACACCTGAGAGGTAAACTCAAGCATTGTACAAAAATGAACAATGATGTAAAACTGTATAAATAAAAATAAAAAAAAAAGACCCTTTATGAGAGTATTAATGAAATTAAATTTCTATTCTTGCTTTCTCAATCCATTCCTCACTGTGAAAGTTTACAAAATTTATTTAAACTTTGTATAAAGACCTAAAAAATACATGGATATGTATGAAACACATTTTATAAAATATGTTGATTTCTGCTAGTGCTTCATCCTGATTATTAGATGCAGTGATGTGATTATTAGCAAGAGGGCACTGTGGTATTACATTTACTTGTGTGCGGTCTAGAGATTTTTTTTTTTTTTTTGAATGGTGCCTGTAAGGATTTATAAAGGAAAGTGAGAAAGTTCAATGGTTTCTTTACACTTCACTTCTCCTTAAAATACTGGTGAAATTAGGAAGTGACAATTTCAGAGCGTCCATTATCTGGAATTAAAAGGCATCTATGAATGATTTGGTACATTCCTGTCAGCCCACTGATATTTTCCTACTTGAGACTCAATAGTTTTAAAGAATGTGTTTCAGCTATTTCATCAAATTGCCCCTTAGATTTAAGAAGTACCAAATTTGAGGGTTTTTTAAAAAATGTTTTATAATTGAGGGTTGATTTGGTAAGAATATTTTGTTAGCGAAGATACTCTAATCCGCTTGGAACACAGGAATTTGAATATGTAAAGCTGCTTTCTACATCATTCTGCACATTTCATTTGACCCTATGAATATTGAGGTAATACAAGAAATATTTATTAGATTACCAAATATTATTTTCAAATGATAAATATTCTATTTCATAATTATGCATGTCATTCTGATTAATATCATAATAAATCAGTAACAACATTTTAAAAATCAATGTCTCACAAATATGATGTGAAGTTTTATAAAAAACAAAATACACACAGTAAAATCTTGCAATTCAATATTGGTTAATCAAAAACAAAGCCTAGATTGAAGCATCTGTCTTTCCCTGCCTGTGTTACTAAGATTTCACCATCATTTACTTGGAATAATATATAAAATATAGCTTGATGAAAAAGAAAATAAAAAATTAAGTATAAAGTGTTCATTCTAACAGACTCTTATAAGGAAAACAATCTGATGACTGGCCCGTGAGAGAAGAACAGATGGTGTTTGTAAATAAAATACTTTTTTCTCTAAAATGTATAAAGAACTTTCTTGGAACATCAAGATCAGATTTTAAGTTCTGTGTTCTCCCACACATGAAATTATAGAAACTTAATTGTCAGACAGGAGGGGAAGTTAGGAAATATCTACTTAATTCTTTAATCAGGAATTACATTTGAGAGCAAACAGCAGAATCCTGAGAAATAATAGCTTAGTGGGACAGGGTTTCATGTTCCCCATACAGGAGAGGGCATGCAGAGAGGAGCTGCTGCTGCTTCGGCTTAGGACTCTCCAGTTCTCAAAACTTTCCCAAGAGGTTGTAAGGTGACTGTTGGGACTCTTCGAAGAGAAACAAAGAAAAGAAAATGAAGGAAAAGAGGAAAGACAATTCCTGTGTCCGGAAGGCACAATCTCAGTCTGTCTATGGACAATGCCCACAGCTCACTGGTGAAAAACAATGTGTCCACCTTTGCCTGGAAGGCTTTTACCAGAGCTTGATGCCTGGGCTAATAGTCTGTCAGTAAGGGAAGAAGAAGAGTTGTGTCCTATTGACGGACCTGTCAAAGCCTCTGCCACAAACTTCTTCTTATGAAGATGAGGCAGCTGGGCCTGCAGAGATGAAGCGGTGTCACCCGTGTCTCAAAGCCAGTAGCAGAACCTGGACTTCACGGGCATTGTGTGCACCCTCTGGCTTTCAACAACTCATGCATGGAATGACCTGCGTGTGTAGGTGTGCGTGGAGTGCGCTAGAAGAGGGGTCTTCTGAAGATCTAAAGATTTTGTTTCAGCAAGAGCATAATAGTGTGACTGTTGTAAAGAATCGTGGATTATCGAAAGCTTGGCACATCAGGTCACTTCTAATAAGATCATAGAAGTGATCTAATAAGATCTCATGTGGCTACAGTTCCAAAGGAAATAATACAAAGGAAAATTAAAACACAATCCTAACATAGAAATGAAGTGATAACTCTAATTGTTGAGGTTTTAAAATTTCACTTGAGAGTCTATTTCTTTAAATAATGAACACCTTCCTTCATAGGAACCTAAACTTACTACTGTAAAAAGTGGGTTCCTTTTGGTCTCCCAGACTGAAGGAGCAAGTCTCAACTGTCTGAGGAATGTGATTAAGGGACAATGATTGTAATTAGTAATGACACCTTCGGAGCAACAGCAAATCAAGATTGCTCAAAATTCCAGATTATCTGCCCCTACCCAGATGATAAAATGTGTCTTAGAAGAAGAGTAGTAGATGGCTGATGACATTCTTTTGAAACTGTTTTTCAACCCCTCAAGCACTTGTTAAATGTCTACATTCCGGAAAATAACACTCTATCAGGTTATGTATTAATCCAAGAAGAGCTTACTTATTACTACTTACAATCTATACTACAGAGATGTCATATGCAGAAATCCAAAAGGAAATACCTTCTTAAAATTGTACAATATTAAAACTGTTCTGTTTTACAAATAAGAAAACTACAAACTGGCAAAATAAATGACTTGCTGGAATTCATTTAGAGAATAGATAATTCTATTTTCTTTTCAATACGTGGTTAGATAGAACTTGCAAGTTATGACTTCATATCTTTCCAAACATGAGGACTTATTTGGATATTATAGCATCATCTGAAATTGCAAAGACTTAGTATTTTTTTTTTTGCATTCATGTTCTATATCTGGGATATATAAGGGGAACAAAATGTCCTGATCAGAAATTCAGTTACGTGTGATTCATTTCTGATTGCAGTGGGAGAAACTACAGATGACCACAAGTGAAAGGAGGAAAATATTCTGCTCTGTCACCTTCCACGTCATTGCCATCACCTGTGTGGTTTGGTCTTTGTATGTTTTAATAGACCGGACTGCGGAGGAGATAAAGCAAGGCAACGACAATGGTAAGTGACCAGGTTTCTCTTTTCTTCTTTCCTCTCTTGCATTCTCTGAGGATACCGGAAAGTAGGTTGTGAAGCTCTTTGCCCACCTTATACCTTCCTGTATGATACACTAGCAAAAATCAGTCCTGGCAGCTGAGTCTTCTCCAATTATGTCATTGATTAATACACTGACTATAAATCATTGACTGTTTGGGGACCCAACTGAAATCAAAGCTTATCAAGTCCTTGTAAAACTTGGGGAGAAATATAGAGATGACATACACCACTTCAGGCTCTTCAGGAACTCAATAAGGATCAGGTTTGCCTGATGGGAAAAGGCAAACAGTTGTGAAAATGGGAGGATTTTACTTAATTCACCCTGGTCGTTTTTCTTTTAAAGCATGAATAGGTTGATACTCCAGAGAGAACTTATCATGTCTTATACTATATAACTTGATCAGGTAAATTATAAGACTGTGTTTTGAAATTAGAGCCGTGCTGTTGATTGTGAAGGATGATGTTAAGTCTGTAAAGAAAGATGTTCTAGAATCATGGAGGCGTAGTCTAACATGTAAAATAGCTCATTTTAAACATAAGGAAAAATTGGTTAACTTCCCTTCTGAAGATACCCAGCTCTCTATCTCATCTGGCTCTATCAGTTTTCTCATATAACCTAAATCATAGCTGGTGAGACACTGAGAAATATCCTCCTAACATCACCCATCCTTCCCCTCTCCCCCCCACCAAAATTAAACCACTGCTGAATTTGAAAGGAGAAATTGTTTAGACACCAACATGGTAAATTTGTGAACTTCTGTAATTGTAAATTTATGAAATGCTTATGCACCTTCTCCAAAAGAAACAATGAATGAAGGAAAAAGATTAGAGGGAGTGAGGGCAGAAGCATGAAGGAAAAGAACTTTAAAGCTTTATTTTTTTTAAAGATTTATTTATTTATTTATTCATACAAGCACTGGGTACAGTCAGAAGCGCGGGAGGGTGAGAGAATTCACCAGAGCCAGAGCGGGGAGCTGAGCAGGCAACAGAACTTTAAAAGCGAGAGGTTTGTTGGGTGTTTCCTCCACGGCACAGCGAATGGGTGTTGCATTCTCGCGTTCTCCCTCACGGGGGCAGCAGCGCGCACCGGCTGGTGCAATGCGGGCTTCCTAGCCACAGCGAGGCTGCTGGGCCGAGCGCCGCCAGCACTGGCCGGAGGGAGGGGCCAGATTTTGAAGGGAAGAAGGTGGAGCTGGTGACAAAGGTGCAGACCGAGGGTCTCCTTCTGACTGAGAATAAAAGCACTGCTGTTGAAAATCGCAGGGCTAGAATAACAGAGAGAGGTTTTGGGGATTGTTTTTTGATCCAATATTAAGGCATTTATATACAATTTATACTGAACTACATTATTTACAACTACATTTTGTATTGTTACTGAAATCCTGGATTTAAAAATGTCTATTCTGTCCCTATTAAAATAATTCCTTGAGCTATGAACCAGAGACACTCTATGGAGGGTGGGGGCGGGAGGGGAGGGATTGGGGTCAAAATAAGGGGGCTGCAATTGTATGGGGAATATAAAAATAAAATTTATTATTTAAAAAAAATGTTAAGCAATAACTGCACAGTACTTTACATGAATTATTTCATTAAATCTCTAAAAACCACAAAAAAAATAAAAAATAAATAAAAGTTCCTTGAGAATCAGACCTTTTTTTGAAGTCATGTCCACTGTAGATAGAGACATTGGAGTACAATCCAAGTGTATTTGGAAAAGCAAATAAGCACCCCATCCCCACCTCCTGTGCCCAGTGTATCATCACCTTAGCACTCAGCTGATATCTTAGAAATCAAAGGCAGACCTTACAGACGGAGTCTTAATATTTTACATGATTAATTTAGAGATTAGATGTTTGAGACTCATAAATTTGCCCCCAGCGTAACCTCTTGCATTCCCCCTGGCCATGAGACTGCAGGACTCTGTTCTCCACTGGCCACACGTGAGGGAAAAAAGATTAAGGGCATCGCTCCCAGAATAACAGAAGCAATCTCATGGCACACACCATCAGTATGTAGACAAGACAGAAGGTCTCAGATTCTTTTTATTTAGTCTCATTTCTAAGACATGTGGGTGATCATTTATCCTGCAGTGGCTTTGTCTGTCTCAGCTTCAGCCACGGAAGTCTCTCCAGGACTCATAAAACCAAGGCTGCCTTCCATTTATCTCAGTTTCCTTGTTCATTCTTTAGTTCCTCTGGTTGTTCACTCTTTAGTTCCCCTGGACTATGCCTTCAGTTGTCACGTCTATGGTGGTAACCCCCAATTTATCTGCACTCATACTGCGCTCCAACTCATGCATCTACCTACCTCCTAAACCAGTGCTTAAAGTCTTCCAGCCACACCACTGTTTGTACCAAATTCAGAATCTACTGCCACTTCCCACTCCAGCACTGTAAGAAAGACAACACTAATACCCAGTAACCAGACCCAGACTTGAGCCTTCATTCCTCATCGTCCTGCCTGAGATGCCTCTGAAATGAGTCCTTTTCTGTCCTCCCCTACTGCCACCATTTACATACAAACTATCATAGCTTTTACGCAGATGCTGCAACAGCTTCTTAGTTGGTCTGTTTTCAGTTTTGCCTTCAACCTATGCTCAATCAAAAAAAATCACAGCAAAGGGCCTCCCCTGGTGGTGCAGCGGTTAAGTGCTGGGCTGCGAAGCTGCCCGCAGCCTCTGCAGCACAGGTTAGATCCCTGGCCACCGGTGAGGGTACCACATGGTGCGCAGACCTCTCCTGCCACCTGCTGCTCCCCTCAGCAGTGTACTTCGGTCCTTCTGCCTGTTCTGCTCCCCACTCTGGCTCTGGCGAATTCTCTCACCCTCCCATGCTTCTGACTGTACCCAGTGCTTGAATGAATGAATGAATAAATAAATAAATAAATCTTTTTTAAAAAATCACAGCAAATTTACAAAAACACCAGTCTGGTCATCACCTAGTCCCTCTTGGTCATTACTCTTAACTCTTAAAATATGCCCCAAACTCAGACTCTGCTGCCCACATGACCAGGCTGAAGCCAATTATGCTGGCCTTTCACTTAGCCCGCCAGATCTGCTTCCAGACCCTGCTCTGCTTTTCTCTCTCTGTGAATCCCTTCTCCCCAGCTTGTCTGGTCAACCATCACACACTCACATCAACACCTATATTCTCACACACCTCCCTAGCCTGTATTTGCAGTTACATTAAACATCACTCCCTCTGCACAATCTAGTTCAACTCCCCAAATTAGAATAGTTGTTTATTGAAATGTAGCTCCCAGACCAGCAGCATCACACGACCTGGGCACTGGTAAGAAATGCAAATTCTCCACCTCCCCTACCCAGAAATTCTGAGGGTGGAGCCCAACAATTTGGACTCAGAAAACCTGCAGGTGGTCCTGATGCCCTCTGAGTTTTAAGAACAATTGACCTACCATGTGTTTCCACAGCAGCCCACTTACCTCCCCCACCCCATCATGCCTCTCCATTGGCTGCACATTTTACTTGCCTGTGGAGTTTCTATACCACTGTGACACCTCTGTTTTATCCCCCAAGATTTAGATTTAGTTACCCCTTACATGAGTCCATCATAATCATGTTGAGAAGCTCTGCCTTTCTAGGAGACTAGCCTCACAGATTTGCCATTGTTCATTTAACTCTGTCTTCCTCAGTAGACCCAGTTCAGTCTAGGGGGACATGAGTCTCCTCCTCCCCAGCACTGACACGCAGGTGCAGGTCCTGGGCTATGTGTCTGGGGCCCACACAGGGGTCCCGTGAGTGCTGGAGAATGAATGATGAAATATGAATGCTTCACATTTAAGCTTTGCCATCTTTTATTTTCTTTTAGTTTTTCTTCAAAACATGTTTTCCTTTCTCAGTTCTGGTGATGCAGGGTTTCAGATGACAGCTTCCTAATGGACTTGTCACTCAGGCCCCTCAATCAGATTTCCCAATAGAAAAGCTTACATGATAATCAAAGGTCAGCTTTCTAATAATACAAGGCAGATTATAGGGGCCTCCCTGGTGGTGCAAGGGGTTAAGACACAACCTATGAAGCTATTCGCAGCCACTGCAGTACAAGTTTGATCCCCCGCCAGGGAGCTACCCACATGGTACAGCAGACCTCTCCTGACTCACCCGCTGCTCCCCTCAGCAGTGTATTTCAGTCAATTTGCCTGTTCTGTTCCCCTCTGTCTCTAGTGAATCCTCTCACCCCCCGCATCTCTGGCCTGTATGCATAAATAAATAAATCTTTAAAAAAAAGATTTATAGATGGTCAAGTGTCACCTTCCTATCATACACTTTTTAAATATATTATTGGTTTCTTACAACGAAATGAAAATATGATGTCTTTTATCTTTGGTATTCGGAGCTATTGAATTAGGAGCAAGATATTTACCAACAGCAGTACCTGTGGCTGTTCCCCCAAAACCACTTGCAGTGGGACAGATTGTAAATCAGTAATTTCAAATAGAAACTACTGTGACTTCTGTATATACCAATTATAGTTAAAAGCTGACCTCCCAAAGTACACATTCACAGTAGTAGGGGCCTCAGGATGAGCTGTTATTATTTTAATCTTCCTTTTGTATTGGGACTGTGAGTGCTGATCCTGAACTTACTTTTTAAAGTTGCTAAGAAGACTGATTAATTTAAATGTCAAACTATTATAAACTCAATTTGAAAATCTTCAAAAATATGTGAAGAGGAATAAATTGCCCTTCCTCAACTAGAATTGAAGTTGAAATATAAAACAGCAGAATCTTTTGAACATCAGTAAGTAATAATCTGGAGAAGAAAAAATCCTTCATATATTATTAAATTGTGGTTCTTTAAGCTAAAACACATGTGACTCCTCAAAAAACTCACTCACCACCCTTTCTTTCTGCCAGAGATGACACAAAAAAATCAAATATATAGTGCTTGAAAGTTTCATACCTAAGTTACTCAAATTGCCATCTTCTAACTGGGGTAGCATTGTTCT